GCCCTTGTTTATTATTCCAAAGTTAAGTTAGAGTTTAGTTAATATTTTTATATTCTTACGTTCAGACCACAACTGGTTGGTCTCTGTATTCCGAAGTCCGGAAATTATTGTAAAGAGTGAAAAATAAAGGGTTTCGTATACCCTTCCTGTGTATCTTGTCTACTTCCCACATTTATTGAACATAGCTTTAGTAAGCTCCCTGTTCCGAGTCAGGTCTTTGCATGTTCCCAAAGCAAGTAAGGCGGAACACTGAACCTGATAATATTAAATACATTTTGTGCAAATTATGTATGATACATGACATCAGACAAATGTCCACCATTTTTCTCGATACAGAGATTGGCTCTTTGTAACGCGTTTTCCATTACGACACGTAATGTTTCTGGTTGAAGGCTCGGTATTTCGTCTCGAATTTTCTTCTTCAGCTGTCTAATAGTTTCTGGTTTATTAACATGCACTTTTGTCTTTTAAATATCCCATAAAAAAAAAAAAAGGATTCTGCTTCGCCATTGGCCGCAAAAAGTTTTCAATTATTGTTCTGTAAGAAGCTCCGGAAATCGTTTCCGGCGTTCCATCCTCATTCTCGAAGAAATACGGGCCGATAATTCTATTGGCCTTGACACCGCACCAAACAGTACAGTTCGAAAAACTCGATAATTTTAACGCGTTGTTTTGTTATGTATGGTTCCATAATAAATTTCAAGAATTGAATTATAACCTATAAAAATAAAAATAATAATTATATCAAAAAATAGAAAAGTTAACTGTGCTTAACATTGGTAGGTCTTATTTGGCCCGCCCTATGTTTTTGAAAATTGCAGACGACAATGCACGTTACACTGCGCTCTGTATCCACCTGCGGTTGTGACTGGCCTGCGTCCGGTTTACAGAAGATTTTTTTATTTCATTCCGTCATCCATATGTTCGTGGCTACTTATTTTACCTGATAACGCTATAAAATTTACCCAATTCTTGCGAGAAACACGGCGAATGTCTTAAAGCAGTACCCCCAGCACACAAATCGCCGAAAACGCGTCGTGCGCTTCTTCTCCACAATCACATCTCCGCAGACGAGCACGTGCACGTTTACGTATTCGACCCCTGAATATTAGCCAAATTCTTCAGCGGTAAAATTATACACTGCGAAAAAAAGGGGGGGGGGAAGAAAGTGTGTGTGTGTGTGTGTGTGATTATGGCAAAGCCTCGAGGTCTATCTGCCTAAAATGAGGGATGCCTTCGTGGAGGACTTTCTAAGGGAAACTGGCTCGTATACACGCGGGGGGGGGGAGAAAGAGAGAGAGAGAGCTCTGTATCTTCCGTTCTGCTGGATCGATTGACAAAATTCAAATTGCGTTTTTCATGTTTCGAAAGCGCGACTAAGGCTATACATTAGATTTACATATAGTATTGTTCTAACATACGTATTTTGACGTAAAAAAGATTTTTTTGAAATAACATACCCATTTTATTTCCATATTTCGATTCTGCAACTTAAATTATGCCCAGATATTAAATTTCGTAAAATTTGGTGCGAAATTTACGGAGAAATTCAAAAATTTATCTTGGCGCAATTTTTTTCAGTGTGCGCCAAGAATAATTCACCTGGCGAACTTTTTTTAAGATATGGCTACCAATTTTCCTTTCCCTTCCATTATACCGGAGCGGAAAAAAAAGGCACCTCGTTCCTACCTTTTTTATTGGGTCAGTCCCTAAATTCGTGCCCATTTTTTGGTAAATTTTTAAATAATGTAAAAAAACACAATTTAACATTTTAATCCGTTACATATTTTCCTCCATTATCTACAATGTCTCGCCATCTTACAGGCAGCAGCTCTTTTATGCCACTGCTGTAGAAAGACTCTGGTTTTGAAGCAAAAAAACTTGAAAGTTCATTGTGTACATCCTGTTTAGAATTTAATTTTTTTTTTCCCAGTAAAAAATTTTGTAAGGCACGAAATAAGTGAAAATCACTTGGGGCAATATCTGGGGAGTAAGCAGGATGTGGCAAAAGCTCCCACTTAAATTCACTCATTTTTTGCAGCGTTGTTCGAGCCGTATGCGGTCTAGCGTTATCACGATGAAACAACACTTTCTTTATATTCACCAGTCGTGGGCGTTTTTTGATCAATTCTGAGTTTAGACGGCAAAGTTGTTCACTATAAACTTCTGAACGAATCGTTTGATTTGGTTTTAAGAATTCAAAACGTCTTGAAACGGGGTTCATCATCCATGCTGCTTTTTCCAACTTAAAATTTTTTAAACCATTCCTGGGCAGTCTTTACAATAATAGTGTGTTCACCATGTACACTATTAATTTTTATTGCTGTAAAAACGGCAGATTCACCTCACGAAAATAAAAAATGTAGCACAACACGTTTGTACTGATTATCTATATTCATCTTCTATGCGTACTAAAATGCGTTGGATATTTACGAAAGTTGGTGATGAATTGAATAATATGTTAATCAAACAATGCCAAGTTTCAACAGGTTCAAAATTATATTGTTTTAGTAAATGCGTTATAGTGAATTCCACGCATACTCTTACTGCGCACGAACTTATGGACTGACCCGATACATTGCGCATGATCGGTGAAAAAAATTACATCGTTCCAACTTTCAAATAATTTTAGCAAAGTGTCTAAACCACATTTGATGTTTTATCGCTTTCAATAAATTAGCCAATATATAAATAAATGCACGTATATCTTCGGAAATTTTGAGTAAAAAATTTTAAATGATATTGTAGGTTAGTTCGCAGCAGTAATTAATCATTTATTTGTAATTAATTTCATTTAAAATTCAATTAACTTTAAATTTCGTTTTTACGAATAGAGAATGTGTGTTAAATTCAAATTTCATTCACTGAGCAATGGCAAGAGAATTATTTAAATTTAATTTTACTATATTCTTTTGAATTTGTTTGTTTGTGTAATTATGGCAAAGCCTCGAGGGCTATCTGCCTAAGGGGAGGGATGCCTTCGTGGAGGACTTTTTAAGGGAAACTGGCTCGTATACACGTTACACATGAGGAAAACCACTATATTTTTTTGAAACAATTTTGTTTGTACTTAGCAACTTTTAGTGCTAATTACCTAGTTTGTTTCTCTGATAATTTTTTTTTCAAAATTAAACTTCCAAGTTCTAATAGTTTGGTTTTCTTTAGTTTATGAATTATTTTTGCACTTAGCTTTATTTAAATTTTACTTACAGCTTCTGTTTAAATACAATAGTTCATTTTAGCTTTAAATTTTAGTGAATTAAATTAGCAATACCATTTCAATTCCCAGTTTTTAAAAATTTTCCTGTACAAAAACTTGATTTACGTATGTTCTCAGAACTTAAATGTTATTGTAGATTAAGTTCGCAGCAATAATTAATCATTTATTTGCAATTCAATTCCATTTAAAATTTAATTAACTTTAAATTTGCTTTTCACGATTAGAGAATGTTTGTTAAATTGTAATTTTTTACAGGTATGCTTAGGAATATGTCTACTTTAAGATGATGGTAAAAATTTCATAGATTATAATTCAAATTTTTTTTTGAAAAATTTATAAAAATTATTTTAAAAATAAATAAATCATAAAAAATGGGTGAATTTTATTTGGAATGAACCTGAATTTCGAAATGTGAAAGGAAGAATCAAGTAAGTTTAATAATAATAAAAAAAAAAAAAAAAAAAAGAGAGAGCTTAATAAATACACTGAAGTGACAAAAGTCATGGGATACCTCCTAATATTTTGTCGGTCCTCCTTTTGCCCGGTGAAGTGCAGCAACTCGACGTGGCATGGACTCAACAAGTTGTTGGAAGTCCCCTGCAGGAATATTGAGCCATGCTGCCTCTATGTCCATAATTGTGAAAGTGTTGACGGTGCAGGGTTTTGGGCACGAACTGACCTCTCGATGATGTCCCATAAATGTTCGATGGGATTCATGTCGGGCGATCTAGGTGGCCAGATCATTCGCTGGAATTGTCCAGAATGTTCTTCTAACCAATCGCGAACAATTGTGGCCCGGTGACATGGCGCATTGTCATCCATAAAAATCCCATCGTTGTTTGAGTACGTGAAGTCCACGAATGGCTGTAAGTGATCTCCAAGTAGCTGAAGGTTTCCATTTCCAGTCAATGATCGGTTCAGTTGCACCAGAGGACCGAGTCCATGCCATGTAAAAACAGCCCAGACCATTATGGAACCACCACCAGCTTGAACAGTGCCTTGTTGACAACTTGGGTCCATGGCTTCGCGGGGTCTGCGCCCCACTCAAACCCTACCAGCAGCTCTTACCAACTGAAATCGTGACTCATCTGACCAAGCCACGGTTTTCCATTCGGTTAAGGACCAACCGATATGCTCACGAGCCCACGAGAGTCGCTGCAGGCGATGTCGTGCTGTCAGTAAAGGCACTCGAGTCGGTCTTCTGCTGGCATAGCCCAAGGAAGACAAATTTCGCCGCACTTTCCTATCGGACACGTCCCTCGTACGTCCCACATTGATTTCTGCGGTTATTTGACGCAGTGTTGCTTGTCTGTGAACATCGACAACTCTACGCAGACGTCGCTGGTCTCGGTCGTTAAGTGCAGGTGGTCGGCCACTGCGCTGTCCATGGTGGGATGTTATGCCTGAAATTAGATACTCTCGGCACACTCTTGACACTGTGGATCTCGGAATGCTGAATTCCCTAACGATATCCGAAATGGAATGACCCATGCGTCTAGCTCCAACTATCATTCCGCGTTCAAAGTCTGTTAATTCTCGTCGTGCGGTCATAATCACGTCAAAGCCTCTTCACATGAATAACTTGAACACAAATGAAAGCCCTGCCAAAGCACTTCGCATTTATACATTTTCTACGCGATACAGCTGCCATCTGTATATTTGCATATTGCTATCCCATGACTTTTGTCACTTCAGTGTATATACCAAACTCAATTAACATTGAAGAGCTAAAATTTTGAGGAATAATTTTTTAAAAACTACTCATGCGATGTTTACTCACATTTCTCCGTTGCTGGTTTTCGATTTTCCTGGCAAAGCCCTCTGTATTTTGGAAGCGGCCGAAGACTTGGATCGCATCAAACCTTTACGCTGAAAAAATAAAACAAAATAATGAGGTTAAGAATTTTTTTTTTAAATCAAACTTTATCAAAATTATGGACAATTATTACGAACATATTTCTAAAAATGCATTTCTACACATATTTTTTATTAAAAATAAATATAAAATTATAGTATTAACTTTTATTATTTACATGTTCTACCATAAGGGACTACTCGGAAGGGAGGAATGCCTTCCTGGAGGACTTTCTAAGCAAAACACTCGTATTAACACGTTACACACGGGGAAAACCACGAAAACGCCCATACAGTTAGCCCGTTTACGGGACCCGAACTACCAGTGTTCAGGGACTTTACCGCTTTGGTAATTTCAATTAGAGATTCAAATTTTTTCATACTTGCAAATGATATTATTAAAGGGCGATTACTGCTATTTTTGTTGATTTATAAATGCTAACCAAAACTAATTTCTGGGAAACACAGATTTTTCAAATGAACAGTTAAACAGATTTCGCTATCGTCCAATAATTCGTCAAGTTCCTTCGCTATGGAATGCAAAATCCTTACTTAACTCGGCTAATTTATTCAAAATCCACGCGAAAATAATAACATTTTCTAAATCTGACTCGGAAACTATTACCCAATGGAAAACTGCGATGCTCTTCCGTTTAGCCAATCAAGATTGGAATCTCGACGTTATTCAGACCGCTTCGTAATAACACTCAAATTATTTTCTTTCCCACACAGATTCGTAACCATGGCCTTGACGTTGGTCACACACGCAACCCACAGAGCTGCAGCCTACAGAAAGTAACAGAGAAAATGTCAGATGGCCACGTGGTGTGTGAAGGACAAAGATGTCAGGTTATGCATAAATACTGGTATTGACACAGGTGTGGTGAGCACACAATCAAAAGCGATTTACTCTAATCTTGGCAAGAGTCCAAGCGTCCAGAACTCACGAAAAGGTGGAATATTTTACACATCCCTTTGTAACAAAAGAGCATTAATTACGGCATGAAATAAGTACCAATAACCAATTTCCTATTGATCGGAAAATTCACTTTTAGTGGAATTACAACTGGGTCAAATATCTTAATATGATTAATATGAAAGGTCAAGACTGGTTACTTTCATTTTTGTCTATCTCAAATATGATTTCTTGCCTAAAATTCTACAACCAAAAGATTCTCCTCCCTCTTTTTACTTCTTTGTACCAAGTAAAGGAAGTATTGAAATTACGAAACATTCCGGGTACCATATTTCACCGAAAATATCCATTTTGACCGCTAGCGAATGCAATTTAACGATGTTTTTGCCTGACATCTACACGTAAGGACAGTATAAAGGCCTCTTTTCCCCCCATACGACTTCTAAAACTGATTTAAAATGGATTTTCAGAAGAGATTTTTTCATTGCGTCTGTACGTACGTACGTACGTATATATCTCGCCTACCTCAAAAACGAGTGGCCATGGAACGTTGAAATTTTGTACAGGATTGCTGTAACATGTAGTTGTGCACCCCCCCCTTTGTGGTAGCAATCGGTCGCGCCAAAAGTATGTAAATCTATATATACCCACTCTGTTACTCAGCTCATCGAGCATTTTTTTAATTTTTATATGTTAGTAAATAGCGCAGTTTTTGATTTACAAATGATTGGATTATGTTGTTCTTATCTTCCGGTTAAGGTTTATATGCCTTTAGTTAACTTCGACGCAATAGTTGCAGAATTATCAACAATTAAAAAGTTGTTTAAAGCGGCTAAGCTTGATTTTTCTTTATCATAGGAGCCATATTTGTTTCCATTTGATAGTAGATTTGTTGCCAATCTAGAGAAACTAAGCTTCGCATCAACAAAGATAACGTCTTCTTTTATTATTGCGAATTAAGCCATGCTTAATCCATTCTGGAATTAGCATTTAAGTTATTAAATTATCCGATATATTGACTCACCATAGCGTTCACAAAAAATTAAGTCAGTTTCTAAGCCTTCAGTGTCTTTTTGCCGAGTGAGACCAAAAGTAAACTTTCAGTTTTTGTGCACCTAAAAATCTGCCTTCTTGCCCGCTGGCCGAATGGCTGATTTTTGCGTAGAAACTCTAATTTTAATTGCAACAATTCTTCTTTTAAATGGTTTTAACTGTATTTATGTTTTATATTTTTCGATATTTTTCAATTTTTAATAAAGCTATTTTGAGGTTTCATGCATTTTTAGCGTGTCGCGAAGTGAGAACTGAATTAAATGAATGAGAAATACTAGATCTCTAATGAAATTCGAGGAAATAAGTTTAAACGAAATGCAGGAAAAAAAGCGTATAATTTAGGATTCCGCACAAGGAAGTCATGTGGTGTACATATCAGATTTTTTCATATGTTAGCGTACAAATACATTCTGCTCTTCCTGGGAATTGGACACTAGACTTTGTTGCTAGTTGAATGTGCTCGCCTCTGCACTTTAAGGATATACGAAATAAATGCTTTTTTTTATTTCTTTTACATTCCTCCCATTCATTTAAAAGAAGGCGATACTTATTGGACCAAATCAAGGTGGCGACCGCGAAGAGTTGTGCACCCCAGTTTAATTTAGGCGCTAATATAGAATTAATAACCATTTCCATCTTTGAACAGGAATCTTAAAAAAAAAAAAAAAATCAACCACGCACTACCCGAGAACTGATTATCAGATCTTCCAAGATCCACTTAGATTACTTTAAAAGCAGTAGATGCGAAAAATGGGCAGTGCCTTAGCCGGGCGTCATACTCAGGACCTACGCGTCGAGCATGCTTCCAGTTAGACCACTAAGGCATGTGGAAAGTAGGAAGAAAATATCTTATATACTCCTCCCCTTTTACAGGGCAACTGGGAATAATAGCCAAATCCTGGTGATGCTGAACTATCGTCCATTACCACTTTGGCGCCAATTCTAACGTCACCAAAACTTTTTGACGCTAGAGACGTGAAAAATGTGCAATACCCTCGCCGGGATTCGAGCCCTGGACCTCCCGAATACGCGTCCAGTATACTTCCAACAACACCACGAAGGTACACAGATAGGATGGCGAAAATACCTTATGATACAACGCATTTGTGAAAAGTTCAGAAAGAAAGACTGGCTGTTAGAGATTGGAGTAAATTTCTGAAATTAACCGTAATAATGTTTTCTTCCCCTCCCCCCCTTTTTTAGTGTTGCCCAGACAACCAACAACAAATGAAATCAAGCATCAGCCTTTCTCAATCCAAAAAGTAGCGCAGAATCCTGAGTTAGAATGGTTGGGAAACCATAATCCACAAATGGGGCCAAAATTTGAAGCAATTCTAAACTAAAGCAGCGAAGATCTTTATGATCGTTAACGATGAATCCACGAGGAGAGTTTCATCAGATTTGGGAACAAGCGACACAAATTTATTCTCGGACAGCTATGACAGTTTTCGTTCGGAACAAGAAAAGTGTTTACAAGTTGCCCTTCCAGAGAACGAAATTCTATGTTTTTTTTATGAAATAGCTGGTAATTAATAAATTACTCAGGGCTGGGGTTCGGCTTTTTACCGCTTGGTGCAATCTCAGCGGCTCTCAGACTTTGCTCTTCCAGAGTGCTTCGTTAAATTTTTAAAAAATTGTCACTCCTGGTGAGGCCACAGTGGCTCTGGCCCCGATCCTGTAACTAAACACTTTAATCTGTTACATTTCTCTATGGCTTTCTGATAAGAACCAATGAGCCTGACATCCACGAAACTCAAAGCGCGTGTACCTCAATGAAACCTATTTTATATCTGGCCCGAAAATAAAGCAACGTCCCCCTCCCTTCTTCTGAAAGAATTACTCATTTTATACTCAGCTTAACAGCTGAAAAATAATATACAATACTTTGCGAGTTATTTCTTAACTTACATATTCAATACATATTCACCAAGTTTTTACCTCAAATGAGATACATTCCGCAACAGAAGAAGAGGAAGAATGACCTTGCTTGTTTGCATTAGCTGTACATAAGTCACGTGATCTCTCAGGTCATCTGCATTGTTTGTTTACAAAAGGTATTCATAAGTCACGTGATCAATGAGGTCATCGGAATGTATCTCATTATTTAATTATCACTTTTACAGGAACAGATTCAAATATCTGATTCCATCTTAAGAGGAAATCCTTTCTTTCCTCATGAAATATTATCACATATATAGCACTATCCTTATATTTGAACTAATTTGAAACATTATGCCAGTTTTATAATGTACCAGCGGGCCGATGCCAAAAGAAAATTTGTAATTTCTATGTACCTCTGAAAAGCAAAGGTATGATGCCATTTCAATATGAAAGAATTTAGTTCATTTTTTCCAAGCAACAACCAATTAGTTAAAAAAAAAAAAAAAATTGCCAAACCAGGAAACAAAAACTTTTGACATTTCAGGTTAATACGTATGACGACATGAATTAACTTTAATGTAATATAACAACGTTTTCTCAATATCAATAAAAGAATTAAACGTGGCATTAATATATCGAATCAATGCTATTAACCTGAAACGAAAAAGTAACCAGTAGCAGCTATTTGTTTAAAATGCCAACATTAACGAAACATTTTCGACATAGAATGACGTCACATGCAATCGTGTGCTTTCTTCAACATCAGAATACGACTTTAATAATAATATGTTTCAGCTTTGGCAATGCTATTTTTATTTCATATTTTTACAAAACTGACATATTTTTTATTAACAAAGCAGTGGCAACGCTTTTCGAAATGAAGCTGATTTTTCCCTTCAACACGCGAGACTGTTGCCACTCGGAAAAATGAGTGCGAAAATGAGAGTTTTCAGATCTTTTAATTAATATCTCGGTTGATTAAAGTCTCTCGAACATGATAATGGTCAAAATAACTTCCCACGAATTTTTGAAATCGGTAATAATATAGTTAATGCCACAGGGCTAAATGGGCTATAGCCCCAGGGCGCAAGCCTTTTGAGGCGGCAATTCTTTATTTGCGATATAGTAAAAATTTATTTTTCATTTTATTAGTTTTTACTTATTT